CCTACACTGATGAGGGGATAGCTACAGCTTAGCTGCAGAAGCCCATCGACAGGATGCCTTGTCATGACAATTAGTATCTTCTCAGCAACATACGTTCCATATGAATGTTAGAATCCGATACATTAAACCAACCATGTATTTAGTTAAAACTTCATACACATAATTCCATTTACCAGAGGTTTTATTAAAATCCACAGAATTGAAGGCTTTACTAAACATTAAAAAGTGCATTTAGAGAAAAACCCTCAAGACATGTCATGACCCCCTCCCCTTTTTTAAAATAGAACTAAGTAAGAAAATTGTCACCCAATCACAGTAAGAAAAAGCAGGAATTATTGTAAAACACTGCCCTCTGGTGTTACACCAATTCTAAATTCTATTTCCCCTACACTGATGAGGGGATAGCTACAGCTTAGCTGCAGAAGCCCATCGACAGGATGCCTTGTCATGACAATTAGTATCTTCTCAGCAACATACGTTCCATATGAATGTTAGAATCCGATACATTAAACCAACCATGTATTTAGTTAAAACTTCATACACATAATTCCATTTACCAGAGGTTTTATTAAAATCCACAGAATTGAAGGCTTTACTAAACATTAAAAAGTGCATTTAGAGAAAAACCCTCAAGACATGTCATGACCCCCTCCCCTTTTTTAAAATAGAACTAAGTAAGAAAATTGTCACCCAATCACAGTAAGAAAAAGCAGGAATTATTGTAAAACACTGCCCTCTGGTGTTACACCAATTCTAAATTCTATGTTATATTTAAGACCCCCCCAACCACCCCCCTGCATTTTTTTTTTTTTTTTTACCTGAAAGAACCACCTCCAGGGTCATTCAGCTTGTTTTTCTGATTTGCAGAGACCTGAACACCAAAGCCCCCAGGACTTTTGCTGGCTTGTATTGTTGGTGCCTTCCCTACTGTGCCTGAAAAACACCAAGCAATGTTATTATGAGCTGTCTTAGACAATTTACATCAAAGAACCTTCTGTCCAGGAACTAAATTTAACTGTCTGTAAATTGCAAACAAAGGAAGTTATTATTTTTAAAGATTGCACTGCTGAAGAAGAACAATTTAATATACAAATTTTATATTAACGTTACAGTTTGTTCAATATTTACAGAATACTGCAGATTCCAAAACTGAAAATTATTGGCCATAACTGGTTATAATATATATACAAGCTATAAGTGTGTTGGCAATTGTCAGTAAACCGCTTTTCTAGATTATCTGCACACAATGAAGAAGCAGAATTTGAAATACAGATGCTTTGTCACAGACACTCGATGTATTAACTATGCCTTTTACATTATTTCATATAGTCATTGTTCTCTGTTGCAATGAAAAACATGTATTTTCAGAGTTGAAAACATTATTTTAACTATTTTAAAATGCTTTGTATTGTATGTAAAAGAAAAAACACTAAAGTTTGACATAATCCCCCCTCATAAAGGTTGTCTTTTACTTTCTCATTTTGAAAACAATGATTTAAAAGTAATTCATATCTGTATCTAGACTTTACAGGTCTACATGTAGAAGTAAAACTGGGCTTTGTAAATGAGCTGAAGTGTGGTAGACATTCAGCTTCTTGTGACAGTAAATTAAAAATGGATATTAATTCCTCTCTGACATTTGGAAAAATCTAACAGAAAATAATTACAAATTTATGTTACCAGTTAGTAAATCAACAGACCTGTATAATCATTATCAACTTGTATCAGTATGCAACTGAAAAAGCATTGACAAATGAAGCTTTTGGAGTGAGCCCTCCTTTACTGCTTAAACACATTTACTTCGGTTATATATTGTGTTTCCTTTAATGCCACCTGTGTTTTGGCATGTCAAAATAATTAATTCATATGTCTACTTGAGTTAAAAAGGTTTCACCTTTTTATTGTATATCACTCAATTTTGTCGAGCATTACATACACATACCATTTGAGACTTGAAGTACATGGAAGTTATTCCTGCACGTCTGACTCAATTGCATATAAATAGCATGGCATGAACCTTAGTAGAGTCACATTATTTTCTTTCCTGTATTATAAAAACCTGAAACACAACTACCCCAACAAATCCGTTTAAGAACACTTCTTTGCTAAAACAAATGTGCTAGCTTTGACTGAGTCCAGCATTACTTTTATTTTATTTTGAAGTTTTCACCAACTTCAACATATGATCTTAAAGTGAAACTAATTTGACAGCATTTGTTCAGTTCTTCAATCTGTATAAACAAACTGTTGTAAACTGTTCTGGTGACTCTCAACATTAGTAACTAGAAAACAAGATTTAGGACTTCAGGCTCCAAGCCTGGGGAACAAAAATATTTTGTCATCAGAATATTCAAGGTCCATGAGATGTCAGAGATAGCATTAGTTCATGGACCAGACAATTCACTTATCTATTTCAGATGAACTGATGGAAAAATTTTCTAGTAAGTGAACTAGAAGGAAAGAAATAATACAATAATAAAAATGAGCAGATCTCTGCTTTCTACAATTAACATCTAGGAGATTAGAAGTGTGTTAACCTTGAAAATTGTTGCAATGGCAAAATTAAGGTAACAGTGGCACTCCTCCAGAATGTATATGTAATATTATATTCCTTTAGAACTACTATCAATGGTTTGTTTTCTACAGATGATAACTTTTGATAACAAAAAACAAAAACAAAAACCCCCAAACAAAAAGGTAAAGCAAGAGAGTAATTAACTTCTCTGCCTCAGGAAAACAGTATGTCTACAGTGCACATGGAAAAATTTAGTCTCACTTTCTTTCACCCCATGTATATGTAATTTTACTCAAATGGATCTGGCAAAGTAAATGTAAGTTTTGGGATGACATACAAGTTTTCTGTTTTAAATCACAACTGTGCATGATTAAACAGTTAGACACAAAATATGGCTAAAACATCAATTTATATTATGAGGCAGGGCATATTTTGAAAATTAAAATCACTTGTGGGCCTAGATATTTCACAGGATTGGTAATGACATACAGAGTCTTTCATCACCGCTGAGTCCTTGTTTCAAATTTTAAGTAGCATGATCTAGAGAAATTTGAATGCCCCAAATTTAGGACCTTATAAATTCCTAGTTGTATTTCTGCACAGGTTAAATAGCTGCAATGAATACTCTGGCTAATGATTTTATTCTTTGGCTCAATTCCCCCACCCATAAGATGCAATTCACCTAATTATTATACTGCTAAGTTCTTTGATAAAGGAGTGTGAATTTTTCATGCTCTAACTATAGTGTTACTTCCCCTGTTGTGGAAGTAATTTTATTAATGTAAGTACTTACATCCTGCCAATGTTATCTATACTACTGTTTTAAAAGGCATTACAGTCTGTTCACATGGGTGCATTAATATTAATGTAAAGACACATTACACCAGGAGATTCACTCCTATCTGAGAAGGAAAATGCACCATTCTGTGGAAGTCACCTCAGTTCTGGTATAACTATCCTTAAAAAGTCACACTCCACAAAATTATACGACTGTAATTTTCCATATATTTCAGTATCTTACCTCCTTCTACAGGAATACCTGGGTCAGTATAAAATATTATACTGGTGTTTACAGTAGAAAGTTTGAACAACATATCAAGATCAAAATAAACTGGTATCTGACAGTATGCCATAGCATAATTTCTTAGAGCTGCAAGCACACAGGCAGAGTTTTACCTAGACATGGGCTGCAGGATGAGCAGTTTTACAATGGGATGTTTTCTAAATTTCTACTCTTTTTGCTTTGTGTAATTAAAAAAATATAAAGGTGGGCTTGAACAAGCTTGTAAATAGGAAAAAGCTCACCTGAAAGCAGGGCTTTGCGTGAATAGGCCTTTATGAACCATTGTCTTCTTTAAGCCAAATTGCCAGTTAAGTTGCATTTCATTGGCTGATCAATAGCTATCATGAATAAAATCATATTCTGAATCCATTGTTTAAAAGAGAGATGCCACCATCCTGCAAATTCTTGGCACACTTGACATTCACAACTTAAAGACTGAACAAGCAAAGAAATGAAATCAGCCTTCACTCTCAGACACGAGTCGGAAGTGAAAGCTCATGCTATAAGGTCCCAAATACCTTCCCTGTTCATTAATAAACTCAGGACACGAGTATCAGTGCTATCAAATATATACCTTTCAGAAGTAAATGCATTTCTTCCTAACTTGTAAAAACAGCCTACAGGATTATAGTGACAGCATGGTCTCCATGTCCATTCAAACTTTGGATTCTCTGAAGAGAACAGAGCAAGTAGAACAGCAACTACTATTAACTGTGATCATTGGGGTTTTTGATACTTTCTTTTCCCAAGAACAGAAAAGACAAAGCAATAACGTCAGTAATAGCTTTTATGTGCATTTGAGCTAGTTTGATTTTTGATCCAATACCTAAAGATGACAAGCTCTGTATTCCATTACAAACCCTCAATCATCTAAATGCCCACATCCAAGATAATACTCTCACACATAATCAGGAAAAGTAAAAACAGAGCCTAGCAGGTCTTGTGGTGGAAAGAAACAAATGGATATTTATTAGAAAGTAAGAAGGCTTCAAGAACCCTCTTAAAAAGTGGGATGTATCAGTCAGCCATTAATCCATCTGTGCACAGACAGATGAGGAAGTTGTGTACAAACCACACCTCTTGCTCCCCTGGCTAATCATGGCATGTCAGGTTGCTGCAGTCAGTCTCTGACCTCAAAGAGTAAACATACTGGCAGAAAAGAAAAAAAAAAAAAAAAAAAAGGCATGTGGGTTGAGAAATTTCTCTAGGACTCCTACCTTGAGCTCTGGAGCTGCAGAGACAGTGACTATCATGTTCTGCTTCAGGAGTAAAAGTAGGATGATTAAACTGAGGCATCCTCTAGGCTTCAGGAAAAAATGAAGAATTTCTTTCATGGCCCAGAGTGAGAGCTTAGGACAGTAAGAGTCAAGTTCCTGATTTCTTTCAGAACTTTCCATGAAAAACTGCTGAGTAAGGAGCTAAGCACGTGAGAGTTTAGACCTAAGGTTGTTTCAAAACATTTCACTGTGTTGGTCTGAAATACCTTGAAACTGCATAATAAGAACATGCACTCCTCAGCCAGTATGAAGTAAAAAAAAATGTCAAGCCTGCCAATGTCAACACTGTAAGTTTTTCCCATGCTATTAGTTTGTAATTACAATGAAATTCATACAAAGGTAACAATCTCACTAAAACATTTAAACCCATACCTTGTGGTCTAATGGTCTGAGTTATTACCACTGGCATCCTAATCTGGGTAGTCTGGCAAGCAGGGTTTCGTTTCACAGTTTGAGCAGATGTTGACTGGATAATCTGCTATTATTAAAAAAAAGTATACTTATATTATACTCCTTATACACAAACACACACAACGTATATATACTAATACCTGTAATTACTAATATAAGCATGTGGCTCTCTAAAAGCATAACCAGCTAGTGACAAAAGTCATATTCATGTAATGCATGTGGTTGTGTGTGTGTGTATATACCTATTTTCCTGTTATGCTTTAAAAAAAAAAAATCAAATTATATTAGACATAAATGTCATATGTCACAACCTTCATCAAAAATGTATTTCAAAGTAGTAAGGTAAATATTAAAGTTTAGACATTTGTCTTCAGAATTTTTGCAAGGAAGTAAAGCATTTTTGTAGAAGAAAATGCTGCAATAACTTTAATGGTATCCACCTACAACCATAGGCCTTTCACTATGCTTTTTAAAGAAAATATCAACTAAAAGTAAATTCTAAAATATTATGGATTCCAAAGTCAGATACACACAAGACACAAGAAAGAAAACAGTGTTTTGTGGTGATCATATACTATTCATCTTCTAAAAGTTAATTGGATATTCTCAATGTTTCACTTACTGCTAAGCCAAGTTCTGAAGTCCTTACCCAAAACTGAAACTGGGTTAGAAACTTAGTATTTTACCTATAAACAAAACAAATTAAAAAAAAAAACAAACAAAAACAACCTGCAAGGCCCATGTCTAAGCAACAACAAAATGTATGTTCATGAAATCAGGGACAAAGTAGGCACAGATATAATGAAGAGAAGATTCAAGAAGATGTGTGGATGCTGCACAGCTGGGAAAAAAATCCATGAACAAACTTTGAAAACAAAACACAGGCAAATAGCTGTGAATAAGATTACAACCACAACTCAAGGCATGACAACTTCAGAAGTCATGTGCTCTTCACAGTCACAAATATGTTACCCCTGTTGCATAATGCATCTGCTGTTTCTGAATTACACGTCTCAGTCGCACACCCACAGGATGCCATCCGTATTCCCTCCTAGAAGACAATACGCCACGCAACACATCGCTACATGAAGCAAAAGGGAACCACTGCATCTTTATTCAGCACAGTCAGCATTATTCTTACCAAGTTAATCTAAACCGATATTATTTAGCTGTATAATGAATGGCCAATTCTCTGAATTCAAAGTACACTATGGAAAAAAGGAAAGGAGAAACAATATTTCCAAAGGAGACTTAAAATTAAGAGAATGAAGAGGCTACAGAATAAATAGGAAATTGTCCCAACAGCAGGAACCAGGGCTCCCAAATTGGAAGGAGGAGAGGTGAAAACTACAAACAAGACAGAGTAATGAGAGAACAAGATCTGTAACATAGTCTGGAGAAAAAACAACAGGGCCATTTTGAAGTTACGAAATTGCATTCTGCTCATCCTAAAATATTAGAAGTTGAAAAGTCATAATAAACCTATGGATGTAGAAGTATTAGCAATAGCTACCTTGCAGAAGGAGAAAAGGGAAAAAAAACCATTAAGGATTCAGCTTCAATTATGGACACTGAAGGAAAATGGAGCATTTGTACTAACCACAGAAATGGAGCAAATGGATGTAAATTTACTTGGTCAAGACAGGCAGTAAGTAAATACTGACATTCATAGGGGAAAGAATAAAGTAGCTACCATGCTTAAAAACAGGAAAGAAATAGAGGTGATAAGTGAAAATGAGGAAAAAAGTTGAATGTGACTGCATATTGATGCACAGGACACATGTATATGTGTATTTTAATAAGTAAGGAGACATAAGAGCCCACAGAAAAAGACCACAGTAGTATGAAAAAAGAAGGAAAACGTTTCCACTTTCAGAGTAATTTATTGGATGAGTTTTCAGAGGATAGTGAAAAAAAGCAGCCATACCTTAACTGGCCAGAAGCCAGGCCAAAAAGGAGACTGTGTGACCTGTGGATAGAATTACTATCTGGTATTACAGTAATAGTCTGCAATTAAATTTTTTTATCTGTGAAGGAAGCAACTTCTACAGTTCAGAATCAAGTTCTTTTTCACCTGATTAATATTTTAATGTGAATGCCCAAAAAAATGAGCTACTAACACCATTAAAGATAGGACGGTATTTGACCATTTAAGATGACATAAATAATGGTAATATTTTCTTTATTATCAAATACATTTTAAAAAAATCCTTTAACAAGTACTGTATTAGGACTTCAACATACATAAAAGTGCTGAAAGTGTAGAAAACGATTGAGAAATAAACTTTTCCAAGAGATCAGATCAAAATCATCATCTTAAATTCCATACAGAAACTGATCAGCAACAAGCACGTACTCTCTAAACCAAAAGGAACAACTGCACCTGAAATCAGAGCAACATTTTACACTCACTTAAATTCCAGTTTCTGTATGGTTTTAAGATACATTTCAACACAGATGCAATCTTCAGATCTGGAAGTGATTAAAGAATTAATACGAGCAATTTGTTTCTGAAACACAATGTGTAACCTTCTTTGCAGGCAAACAAGGGACATAGTAAAAACTGATGAATCAGAGGTAACTGAACCTGCATTAAAATTTATAAAACAATCTAAACCACCCTTCATCAATTAATTCAATAAACTGTTATAATCCTCTTTCCTATTTTCCCAACAGCATAAGTATTACTATTATGTCCTTAACTTGGCCTGAAAAGTGTAGACAATGAACAAGGTACTAGCAAGCTAGTCTGGAAGATTATTAACTTAATCAAATAATTTCGTATTTCTCACAGCCTAAAAATACACACAATGAGTGTACACCATCTACTGTTATCTATTCACATGCTGAACTGACACTGAATCCCAAATGATCAGTTCTTAAGCACCAACTTACTAACCCAGACTGATATAGAAGATACAGAAGTAGATGTTTTAATACACTGAGGTTATCAGAGGCATTACTTCAGCCTTCAGCAAAGGGGAGATCTTATTGTTGCCTGCAACCACCTAATGGGAAGACATAGAGAAGACAGAGACAAACTGTCTCAAAGGCGCAGAGCAGAAGGATGTGACACAATGGGCACAAGTTGGAATATGGAAAATTTCAATTTAATACAAGGGGAAAAAAATTTACCATGAGGGTGGGCAAGCACTGGAACAGGTTGCCCAGAGATGCTGTGTAATCTCTATCTTTAAGGTACTCAAAACGTGACTGGTCAAGGTGCTGGGCAACATGCCAACATGTAAGCAGGAGGTTGGACTAGACATCTCCAGAAGTCCTTTCCAACCTTTTACCACTACATCCATAATCATAGTATCAATGACCTTTTAGAAGTCCAGAGTCAGAAAATGTAACAAGATAGAATATAAAAGTCTTCAAAGTTTACAGAAACTGTTCATCATTCCATCTCCATTAAAAAGAAGGGAAGCCATTTTCATTACGTCCACCACTAAAGACAGCAAGCACAACAGCAGAACAATAACAACAAAGAAAATAGAAAGAATTTAATGTGATTTAGCCATTGCCTGGATTTGAGAATGAGTTTGGAAAACAGTAAAATTATCAAATAAAATTATGATCAAGACAGTGCCAAGACAGCAAGTACTGTCATATACCAGCTTATTCCTCTTCAATCTATCAGTCAAAAGTTGCAGAGTCATCTCCCAGGCTGCTGCACTTTGGAGCTCTTCAAGGAACACACTGAAGCAGGAAAGTCATGGCATTGCTTCTCCAAGTGCAGTACATGAAAAGTTACCTGAATTTTTTTCTATAAAATAACAGTTTTCTATAAAACAAGATGCACATTTCTCACAATAGAAAGTATTCTCCCTCTTTCATTTCTTCTTCCCATTTCTCCTCTTAACTGTCATCTTTCCACTCTACTAGTCACACTCACTTTGATTCGTCATTTGTCTGCTCCTCCACACAAATTCCTTCTCTCACTTCCCGGATGCTCCAGACTACTACTCTGTCCATTTCTGAAGTTCCCTTTATTTTCCCATCTGTAAAAAGGGATGCTTATACAAAGGTGCTTCCACAAAACAAGCAGACTTATGAAGGTGAAAAAAGGGTATTTGACAGTCACACTACTGACAACCAGAATAACAAAGTGGTGACAGCTGAAATTCTAATTTTTCTTAAGGCCCTTCTTCAAAAAGGTTAGATTCAATACCTACATGAGAATAAAGTAATATTGTTCTCTGGTCCTAATCTCAAGCCAAAGGTGATGATCATACCATGACAAGTGTGCATCTTCTACCGTGTATGTTATTGCAGGACAAACAACAGATTACAGATGTGAACACAAACCAATAATTAACCACACAAATGACCAACAAAAACAGACTGAGAAAGAATTCAGCCAAAGCACATAAAATGTATAGAAGT